CATGTACAATAAAAAAATCCAACTCTTTAAGAAACAAATTCAGATTAAAACGGTTGTTGGCGCCGTAACGGTTGTTAGCGCCTTAGAGTGTCTTGTATCTCTTGATGTCAGTTTGTTTTAATTTAGCAATGCGATAATTGGATTTGTCAGAAGGTTTCATCTATTATTAACAAGATATTGATTAAAACCTAGTATAACTAACATATTTTTATACTCTGTCATATGCACGCGAAAACATGAACGTTACAATGGTGTGTAAAACAGTTCGGACTCTATTATTTCTTTGGTTGGTACTTGTTTCCGCAATATATGCTGACCATGGGCAGCTATCACAGGTATTCTTCAAAGGGCCATATCCACCAATGTATAGAAGCGCAGTAGGAATTAAGTTGCCTAGCGTGTATCAGTGTATGGAACTATGTTTAACATTAAAGCTCTGTCAATCATTTGTTAATCTCTCGAGCAACAAGTGCGTCCTTTTTGTGGAGGATCCCGCTTTAGTAGGCATTACTAGATACGACGCAGGGGGTGTTATGTTGGCAAAATCATTTCTACCGCCGGTAAGTAATTCAGCATTGATTCTCCAGATGTGCATCAAAAATATTTTCTAAACGACACGGGGACAGTTTTTATTGTAATTAAATGTTATTTTTTTAATCTCCATGAATCCTCATTATTTTGTTTAAAATCAATCTCTAATCAACGAGAATATATATGTTCTTCAACAATGCGTACTTAAGAATAACATGACAATTATAGCAGTACAAATAACAAGATTTGATACAAATCTTCGGCGTCTGTCTCTATAGCATGTCCACTTTATCAATTGTCAGTTTAAAACGATAATAAATTTGATGTCTGAATATCTCCATCAAAACATAAAAGTGTAAAGAAGCGGTTTCTGTTCTTCTAAAGTTTGAGGTAGGCAGGTTGTAGTTAAAATGCTGCAAAATCTTTTCTTTTTCTTTTCTTTAACATTTATCCCAAATGCACAGGAGCCCAGTAAAATTATTTTCTATCTATATTTATCTTATGATTGCGCCAGCTGTCAGAGGTGTCAGTAAATTTCATCACTGGGCAGATGAAAATTCTTCGAATTTTCCTAATCAAAAACAGAATGTACGCACTTTCATCAATTCCGTACATTACACGACGATATAGTATTACTCTAAAGGAGGATATCGTCCCGCTGGTACCACTACTAAATTTCGTACATATCTTGCTATTCCAAAAGCTTTAAAATGTGAATTATTTAAATTATTAATATTTTACAAATGTCTCAAAATCGTATCTCGATACAAATAAAAGCATCTGCGTTTATGTTACATATGTCAAGATTTCACTGTATGCTAATTGTATTAAAGATCGTCGGTATACCAAGGACCGAATGTTTCTAAATTTAGAACAAACGGACTGTTTAGACTTCATGTTTTTAAATTTGGAATAACTTGACCATATGGACCCTTGGATGATTATTTGTGATATTCAAAAACAAGCATTTATTTACTGAAAGATCTTTAGATGTTTGTACTCTGCCGTGAATATATAAACTTTGATTTTGTTGATTATGTATTTGTCTGAATGTTTGATTTTAAGATAGGGCTTTCCATAAAATACAAGGGAACAATCCAATCATCAGTTCATAGGTAACTTGAAAATTATTGAAAGCCTATCAGAAGAAGAAATTCCGTAAGAAACTGGTCTTTAGAAATAGTCATAATAGTGACTTAACATGCAAGACAAAGAAAATATTGTTTGGGACAGAACAATGTCCTTACATCTTGGCGTTTTACGCGAGCATCAAAGCATCAAAAATCGAAATTTTAAGAAAGTTCTGGTACAAAAGGTTGTTGTTCGTGCCAGAAGAATCATTATCAAAACTCGCCAAGTAAATATTAATCAATCCAAATAAGCGTTATCAGGCTCCTAAACGAGAACATGGTAACCTTTAAATATACTAGGGGGTATAAAACACTTCCTACTGCACAGAATAATGCCCAATCGTATCAATATGACGAACGTAATCTCTCGAAACTCTGTGGTGATTGTTAGTTACCGAAATCATGTATGAACATAGTGATATCGGGGACAAGGTCATGACTGTCGAATACAGAGACATATTAACATTATTTGGGGATGCAGGGCTATTGTTTCCCAGAAATAGGGAAGTCACAATAGGGAAATTGAAATAATAACGTTTATCATATAGCTTGTTTTAAATCATTCCTTGCTGGTTACATTGAAAAACAAAATATATCGAAGAAAGCGACGTAGAAGACGTTGTCGTGTCTTCGATTTCGCAAGGCCATGATGATCTTTTTGATAGATTCTACGATGAATTCAGCCATAGTACGAAAACAAATACAAGTCAGCAAACACAGGAGGTTTATTCCTATAGGTAAAAACGATATGCATTTTTTATTTAGGAAGTCGGGCCATATTGGAATGATTAGAAAGGAGAAATTAAATAAGGCCTCTGGGGTAGCGTTTATCCTACAGTCATACAAATATTAAACTGCCTTGCTCCGAATTTAAAGTAGGTACAATACACTGTGGCTAGTCTTCCACAAATCATTTCATTAATATTTCCGCAAAAAAAAAAAATTACCAAATTGAGGTTTTGGTCCCACGTCGGTATTTCCTTGCGGTTTCCATTGTGACTTTTGTACATTGTCCTTGAAATTATTTTTTCGCAGGTAATTACCGGTGTTTGTCAGAATCACGACTGTAAAATTGACGAGGCATGCGTTCAAACCGCAACAAAATACTCCTGCGTCAAGCATGGTAAGTAACTAACTTCAAGCTTCAACATCAAACATCTGTATAGCACAGGTATTGGAGGTAATTGACCAAACTTTATTCCAAATAGCATATTTCAAGTGCAGAATGGAACAACTTTTCAATCCCCTTTGGTACACTTTTTGCGCTTAAAAAACAGCATTTTTAAATGCTGTCCCTATCAGTAGAGACTGTTCACGTTGATGACTTGCCACCGGTCTAAGCATATGGATACCATCGAATGACAATTAAAGCTATGTCTGAATTGAATTTAAATTTTGGCGGATTAACACCAGTTTATTTTTTTTTCAAATCGGAGACAGTATGTATGAATCTTTAGGTCACTTGAACTGACGTATGGCGATCGTTTTTTTCCGTGTGTGAACACGATACTTTAAGTAAATATAAACTGATTTTGATGCCACTTTGCATGCAGCCTTTTACCAATATAATATCAGCGCAATTACATTACAATTACCATTGGGTTATGTGAATAATTATGTCAATAAATATGAACATATCTTGATGACAACTTGTATACAGCCTTACATCAATAGGATCTTAGAAGAGTCAATAAAAGAACCCATTCTGTCTTGCAGAATTATAACCCTATGCAGGTTTATTAATAAGAATAATATGCAATATTTATATAACGTTATATACCTTAAAAAGATCAACTCTAAAGCGCTTTACAAGCCATGTTTTAACAACTTTTCTCTACTATTTGAAATATACATCACATATATATCTACGATAATACAAATAAGTATTGGGAAATTTTGAGTCAAATACTAGCGCAAACTGATTAAAACAGTTAAAACAATATGACACATCAAATGCACGTTTGAAGAGATGCGTTTTCAGTATGGAATCAAATACTGTGAGTGAGTCACATTTACGCAAGTGGCAAAGTAGGTCATTCCACAACTAATTAGGGAAAATATTGCTGATTCTTTAAAATTCCGTTTATGTGAGAATGAACATGGACAGTGACATTATGATACATTTAGCGGATGTAATGTCTCGTTTGAAAATATAACGATAATAATATTTTACGGGAACCATTAGGTGTCCATTACGTCTTCCTCGAGTTTGATAGCAAGATCTTCCAACAGACTATTGGTATACTAGCCATGCACCTTTGCTGGCCAACTTGCTTTTGTATTCATACGAGGTTGAATTTATCGAAAACCACTTTCAGATATATTGAATACATTGAAATCAAGGACACGGCAAACTCTTCCACATCAACCGCTTATCTCGAACTTTTCACACAACGAAACCAACGTAGACAGCTTATCACGAAACTGTATTGAAACATGCTTATTTCAATATCCCTACTGTGATAATTACGGGGAAATTTTACGGTCGTCATAGTGATCTCACTGAGAAATATTCTATTTCTTTGTGTAAAGTGAAGCTGGGCATGTTTGCTGCTTGTTAGATTGGTTCCGTTGTTGAATTCCTTGTTCTCATTTGAGAACTAGATAATACTTTCTTTGATTGACCAAGATTTACATGGAATCTTTAAAATTCTACTCATCCTTAATGCTTGAATAGGTTTCAATCAAATATTGTTTGAAACATCATTAAGAGTGCGCAACTGATTTTTCAAATTCACTAAGTTGTTTCAACCCCTAGGTACTTAGTGGTGGGACACGAAGCGGGGAAATTAGACAATATTTTGTTTTAGAACATTACTAAATTACAGAATCTGACCACATGGGTACATTTTACATGGTTTACGTGCCAGAATATACGCTTGTTAAAATTAAACCCGCGCTATTCTTATTTTCCTCCTTCCTATGAAATAAGTGACTGTTGAGTAAAGATGGATTGAAATAAATATTTCTAGGATATATTAACCAATAAAAAGGATATGAACCTACTTTCTGTACACATGCTTGTTGCAAGATGCTTTTTGGTAGTTGAAATAGAACCATTGGTTCTCAAAACACCAGTTTTTTTTTTACTTTAATTTCCGTGATATATTTCCGTAATAACAGATACAAAACACAGTATACCAAATTTGGACAACATATATCATTCCTACAGAAGTGAGTTTTAAAGAAATTGCTTCTTTATCGTTTATGAAGACCTGTTAGTACCGAGAACCACATTAGCTGGTCCTTTGGTCTAAGTATTGTAATAATTCACCTGTGCGCAATATAGCTGAATGAAATCGGATAATACACTTAGAAGTTGTATTTGTTTTATCAGAGATGTCCACTGTCCGATGTCCATCGAAAGCGTTTCAGTTTCGTGACACATGTGTCTGGTTAGTGAATCAGAATATGACAAGGAATGCTGCTGAGGTAAGATAATTACAGAATTATTATTCAAATCTCCAATGTATCGAACTGCGATAAATTAACATTATGCTGTAAAATGTTATTCATAGATCTTATCATAACTATTGGTTTCTTTCTGGGAAATGAAATATACATGCAATGCTATAAAAAAAGTCCCAAAGGCTTCCCACGTGGTTTAACGTGTATTGTGCAACACATGTTGTTCTTGTATGCGGCAAGAATATATTCTAATTTACAGGGTTTCCAGAGGGACATGCAAAAAACTTTTAACTTTGAATAAAAGGCCGGTGAATAAATAATTACTAGCTTATTCATGAGATTTGATTCTCTCAGCGACGGTAATTTTCAACGCAATATTATTTCATGATTTATATTCTACTTGGAAATCGATGCACATAATTTATTAATATATGTCTATTCTTATGCAATGTCATTATAAACTGTATATGTGAATGGTTCGATGTTGGTCTTTTACAAATTGGTGTCGTGACTAGGATGTTGGCTTCATGGAAATTTTGTCAAATTATTAAATTTTAAAATGGATAGGTTGTTTAACAGTCTTAAGGATAGGTTAAAAGGAGGAAAGAGTTTCGAATAGAGCAGAATTTGCCATAGTATGTCTGTACCAAAACCCCCACCAAATTATCTACTGGCTTGTAGGCCTAGTATAGAAGTTTCAGGCCACGATGAAGAGTTAGGAAAGGATATTCCCTCCACTGAATTACCAATGGTTCCGGTTAGAGTTTACAGAAGGCAACTGTTAGAATTAACTCTGCTTTGGGATATAATGCCCATTAAAATAACCTTGGACGAAAACATGATACAGAGAACAGGATTATAGCACATTACACTCACAGTCTGTATCTCACTGACCATAAACTTGACGGCCCAATTTAGATTTGATTATACCTGAAACACCTAGGGAGTCCACTAACGATATGTAAAGGTCATGGGAAGACCCTGAGAGAGTGGTAGTAAAGGGCATGTGGAAGTCACTGGAGAGCCACTACTTCAGCCCCTCCCCGTGCCAATCATGACTGTCTATATGGTCAGGAAAATTTCAGTAGTGAGTCTGTTGCCCCTGAGTATGAGCAATAAGGTATTTCCTCTTCTCACAGGGATATGATTGAGGAGTTTCAATGCCAAGAGTAACTACACCTCCACGCGGGGTCACCTTAGTGGACATAAGGAGATAGTGGACGGTACTTTAATTATTTCCTCACTAGCACCTAGAACATATAGTCAGGGAGGGATGGGTAGGTCTGCTCCCACACCCCCTCACATGATCACCACCGATATACTAGACTCTAGAGCAGTTGCGGATAGTCCATGGATCAATAACGCACATGTAGGGGAACAAAGGATTGATAGGAATGGCATAAAGGAAGAAGCCCAGTCAAGAATATATCCTTTCAAACTGGTAACCCACCAGGAGTAGTACCTTCCCCTCCCCGTTATTCTTGTAACACTTATATGCAAATACATGGTACAGCGGTTCAACCTAGGACTGGGTATTTTCGGAGTCCAGAAAGGAGGAATGGTGCCTCTTCTTCCTAGAGATGATGATTACTTTGAAGAATTCCAGGATTAAGTGTTGATTATCTAAAATAGAAAAACGAATTTAAGTGTTCAGGTATTTTATGTTAATTTAATTTCAATTTATTTTCAACTTTTGAAAAAGTACGGAAATTCAGATCAGCAGCTTTATCATTATCCAATAGAAATATGGAAACCTGAATGTAAGATAATGGAATAGTCTGAACTGTCTATATTTTCATTTCAGGGATTACATTATATGTACCGGATACTTTACCAACAGAATTTTTTCTGTTTTTTTTTTTTCATCTCTGCTCATACCTTGTTTATACGATGTGTTTTTATGTTGTCCGACTTTGTTTGCGTTTATTTTTTAAGTTATTTGTTGCACATGACTTCAAACTTAAGATTTATTCGTACTATTTCTGAATTTTGTTAAAAGTTTTCTTTTAAAGTTTTGCGGTAGTTTGAAATGTTTGTTTCAATTTAAACGTCTCCACATAGCAACTAAGGCAGTTCACTTTTTATATACGCCGATGCTAATGGTGCTGGGAGATAATAACTTGAATTGCGTGGTTTATTATCAATTTTAAAGTTACTGAGGTATTCTTATTTTTTATATACATATTACATTGTCGTTTTATCGTTTTGTTAGTACTTTCATGTAGCCTTGATTGAGACATATTGGGGTTGTTTTCGCTTTTCCCTTTGTGTTAAGGCTAAGGTTCACTTTCGGTCCTTTCGAAGAAGGGAGGTGTGTAATGGGATTGGCTTTCACGTCTATGTTTTAACTCTAAATTAGTTTCCATCTGTATCTCTCGTTGTTGAACCGTTGTTGACTATGCAAATTATAGTTACGGGTCGGGTCGTTTTTTATTGCCTAGGATGTTTCATTATCTGTGATAGACAACACTTCGAAAGTTTTCTCCGTGTGTTAAACAGAAGAAGTACATGTTGTTTGGTTTAGAGATACTTTTCAGTCAGGTGCATTCGATCCAGCCCTTTGATTGGACATGGGTAAACAATGGTACGTGTAGGGTACATAACACGGTGTTTGCAGGTACGTTCGCCGTTATTCCGATTGAATTCTTGAGCCAACGGGCACATATTTTCTTCTCTTTTTGGGTCAGGGGATTAATCTATAGGGAATGATTGGGTTTTAGTGGTATGAGGGTCGAGGTTGTCTCAAATGTTGCTTTTGTGCTGAGTGTCTACCCATTTGTTGTTGCCGCTTTTGTGCTGAGTGTCTACCCATTTGTTGTTGCCGCTGCGGTAGGTGTCTATTCTATTGTTGTTTCTCTTCTCGGTCATTTCTTGTTATTGGTAATAAATATATGTTAACTGTTTATATTTCTTTATTTATAATTTCTCCGATCCAATATTTCAACAACAACTCATTTCTAGCCTTGGTACCGAACACAATACGCGAAGAGGATGCACACATGAGTACATCCCTCCCGTTACACTAGGACTGATTTATGGTAGGAAGTGGTATCATTGTATTATTGGATTATAATGTCAGGATGCTTCAAAAATCACCCATCATAGACTGCTATATATATATACATACTTTTTCAGAAGTCTTCGTGTAAACCTTTCTTTTGTTCATATTTTGCCTGATCTTTATTGAATTTGAATTAGTATTAAGATTATGTTGTCATGCTAGTATTTTCTTGAGATTTAATAGATCAGCTAGTACATATAACACCCCTTCAATCTGTATGTACATGTGGTTTTTCATTGGCTTGTTTTGGATAAATTCGTTTTTAACAGCAATGTCAAAATTATCTCATTTTATATAACAAAGATATACACATTTGTATGCTATTATTGTGTACCTCAATATAGTATTTGTTTCAGATTCAATGTTCAACTAAATACATGATGTCATCATGAAAAAAATGTTGTTCACAACAAAAGACAACAAGATGAACTGTTTTCTATACTTTGTATATTGATAGCTGAATTTTATACAGTGGTTCTTTCCAATTTGACAATTTCATTTGATGATTTTTTTCAAAAGATTATGTATAGCACCCTATTTATGTTAGTCATCTCTTATTATAGCATTTAAACTTACTCTAATCTTTGTAGCTTTTTGATTTGCTCACCATCAGAATAGTTATTTCAGAATTTTTATATGAATTGAAAAGGGAAATAGTTCAGTATCCAACATTTTGTAAGACAACAAATTGTAAATAACTTAGTCTAATATGACTTTCAATGGCCATAATGTTATCAGCATAGAAATAACCACTGCACAACAAATAACAAAGGGGAATCTAACCAACCTTGAAGTTTGAGAATGACGCCTACATTGCGTCTCCTGAAAAAAGCAACAACAATCTATAACTGTTAAATTCAAGATGGCCGCATGTCAGTACTTTTTTTCTATTTGTCCCAAAAATAATCAATGTTCAAATAAGGAGCAAGGGAAACCGTCATATTAATTTTGACAATAATTCACCCTGCACGTCGTAAAATAAACTGTAACGTCCAAATGCGAGATGGTTGTATATCGACCATCTTCGTCTGATCAGTTCCCAAAGGAAGGCAAAACTAGAATGTTCTAGGATACAGGAATACATCAGACATGGTGATAACAATTCTTTATTCAAATCTTAAAAATCAACATCGCCAAAATTAACAACACAACCAGGGGAAATGGGAAAATCATATGTGTTTCATTTCCAATCAGTCTCAAATTGGACAATGCAGTAACAGGGACTAAGGAATCATTCCATTACTTTTTTTTAGAAATGAGGATAAACCAACTCATCAAGTAAGATCTAAATTAATAAAGTAACAAATTGGATTGAAAGTAAATTTTATTGGAAGTAATTTCATTTTTAGATACAGTATTTGGCGTAAGTTAAAGACATTACACAAAAAAAATTTTGTTGACATGACAAGTTTCTTTTGTGTGTTTCCTTTCTTATTATTGACATTTTGTACTTTGTTTTAACAGAATGGTGTTTGCAGTGACGGTTCGACGCTTGCGGAAATATCATCATATGAGTACAATGAGATAGTGAAATATCTCGTCAGGATCCGATGTCAACAGAGTAAGTTATTTTACTTATCTTTTTGGCACTTCTTACTAACATAGTTTGATATGAATTTAACAACATCAGAAATCGCCTTGGGATAAGTTCATACATACTACGCGGGATGATTGGTAAGTTGTGAGACTTACATTGAAGAAGTTAAGCAGAGATGTCATTTTTCATACTTCTATTTCCTGACTATTTAAGGAGGCTGTGCACCCGAAGACCGGTGCAATTTGGTCAGTTTATGTCGACAAGGTAGCAAGTTGATGTAAGCATTGCTAGTGATTTGCAAAATGGACAAAATCGCTGAACAGTGATTCAATATATATATAAGAAAGGTCTAGCACCTGAAAAAATTCATGCTGATATAATAGCAACACCGGGGAGTTTTGCCCTTTCATATACATCATTCGAAAAGGTGGCAGGTGGAATTTAAGAAAGCTCTTAGGTCGTTGGGTACGAAGACTTCAGACTTTTTTGCTGTTAAATCTGTCACTAAGGTGATGTTAATTTGTCTTTTAAACACTGTTTTTATGCGAAGCTTTAATTTCTACACATAGCCAGCTTTGCTTGTCCGGAAATTTTCTGGACTGGTCTCGAGTACTCGAGCAAACATTTGGGGTTGGTCTGGCACTCATCAGGAAAGATCCTAAAGTCTACAGACTACCATGATTTCCGAACATTTCCTTCGATTAACAACCGAAGTATGTGTCTTGGGCTGTACCAGGAAATTGGCAAAAATGGAAACTGGGCTACACTGGACTGTAACAGCGAAGGAATGGTAATTTGTCAGCATATGTAAGTATTACATTGCAAGGTTTTCCTCGATCCATTGTGAGTGCAACTGTACCACAATACATCACTGTATACTCTAATTTCCCCTTTTGCATAAGAAATGATTTTAAACAGTTTAAAATTCGCACGTATATCCCCTTCTGCATCACAACTTTAAGGACAGAGATCAACTATTTATGAAAATCTGGTTCTCCTACCTATTGGACTTTCTCTGATGAAATTAAATTTGCATACAATTTGATAAAAACACCATAATCTAAACTGAAGGAGAATTTTAAAGAGTTTCTTCTCCACTTAAGGCCCCTCTCAGCTATTGAGTGGATGGGAGACCGACACATATACAGAAATTTCCCCTTGACGATGCTTCTGGCCATATTTCCTCTTTCAAAAGAAGAAAGTTTTTAACGAATAAAAAAAGGGTCGCCAAGACCCGACATTAACACAAAATTGCTTCCACTTTCCTTAACGATGCGTTTTGTCCAGTTTGGACAAAATCATATCAATTTTATACAAGGATTGTAAAGAATTTGTAGAAAAATTACATCCATAAATAATAAATAAATTCAAGGAATTCGTTCTATATCTTCTAAAGAGGCCCACTCCTCAAGCTCAGGGGCCTAGATCTTCCGTTTTTATTTAATTCAAACCCCATTAGCCAAGGAGTCTTCAACCAAATTTACACAAATAGATACTATTATTTCAACAAAAGAAGGGGAAAATTCCTCTTTCGTGCCCCTTAAAACCCCTTGACCAAAATATCTTTAATGTCTATTAGCGGTATACAGAGAGTTGACGAATGAATGTCACGCTCTGCCATAAGCTCAGTTGTTCCTCCGGGCAGGAATTAATATTTCAACTAACGACTTATATGTATGCAGGCAAAAGTATGTGAATTTGGTTGGGGATGTTTAGATGGATTTCAGTACAGTTTGATAGTCTTTAGGTGAAGAGTAGTTTGCTGTATGCCAAAAGGCCTCTATTACACACACTTTTACAGAAGTGATTTATTGCTAATGTTATCATTTTACATAATAATGTTTATGTCATATTTTCACGTTGTACCAAATAAGCACAAACTGTGTTTTTAAACAAATTCTAGCCTTCTGACCTTGAACATTGGTTAAGGCCATTTCTTTGCACAAATGTTGTCAAGCTTCGTGCTAGAGATTTACTGGCCACATATGTTTATATGGTTTTGGTTGATCAAAACAGAAGTCGTTTACAGGTATTCGACCTCTGCAGTCTGGAGCATGGGTCAAAGTCATTTGTTCATGCAGATTTGCAGGGGTTTCAGCCAGAACTCTCGCTTCTACGCCTTCTGGTCATTCAGAAGAATACTTTTCAAGACTTTAACAAAATTTACCCCTGTGATCTTGAATAAGCGTCTTGAGCATTCTTTTTGCAAACGTCGTCCAGATTTATACCAGCAACCGTCAAACCAAAAATCGCATTTCGCCTGTTGTTAATTGAAATGTTGATACTGTTCAGACAGACGGACGCCGCGACAAGTCTTTTGGGCCAATAGAGACGATAATGTTTCATTAGTCGTGTTTAGATTTTTATTCAAAAGGAAACGTTGGCAGGTAAAGTCATAGGGATTAAAATACAACCTCTATTTCATTGTTATTTGGATCTTTCATGACTACTGCGGTTCAAATAAATCCATCTGTTTATTAGGCAAGGTATTCCCTTGATTATTTATATATCATATTGAGAATGTTTCTTCTAAAAATGAATTTAGTATATAATAATAAGTTCCCTGTGTGTCTTTAATGCAGTTATTACCCTTTCTTTTTTGTTACAACATAGTTCATATCGCTACAATGTACCTGACACTTTTCACTAAAATCTTTATACAAGAGCATGTATCGGTAAGCTTGCAGCAGTAATCATAATCCGAGAATTGATCACTGTATTAACATTATTTAAGTATTCTAGATGCATATACATGTTTGTCTATTGTACTTACGATACTGAAGATGCAACATCATTCCTATCAATGGGTGCGTTACATTGTGGATTTCAACGCACTCGTTATTTCTTTTTCAGTGCCCCCGACCACTGGGTATGATCTTGCAGGACTTTGACACATTTGATGATTCAGCGACATAATGAAATCCCGATCGAAGTGTATTATTGAAATAGATTTCAAGAGAAGAACATTTGTAATAATGACACTGGAGACATTTTTAGCCCAGCATCAGCAAATTCCTTCAGGATAAGAGCGATTTTAAAGAATTTTCTACTTTCACCTATTGAGGTCCGCTGGTCATGCGCAAGGTGGGCGAGACACAATATTTATAAAAATATCTATATATTAAATATACCTATTTAGGACACAATCAAGGCATCCTTCAACAGAACAATTTTTGAAAAATGTACTCATTTCTTCACTTGAGGCCGGGCGCTCTAGTCTGAGCTGAGGGGGCGCGATCCACAGTTTATACAAAATTGCCTTCACTCTATGATGCTTCAGACCGAATTTGGGTAAAATTCCTGCATAAGAAGTAGGATGATTATGACGCGTTTTGGTCGAAATCCGCCTGTTTTTCTTATTTTTTTTTTATTGTCTATAACTGATAGTGGTATTAAGGACCAATTGACGGACGATGTGGTATGGCATCAACTCACCAGTCCTTTAGAACAGTTGAGCTTAGAAGCTTATTTCGCATATATGAAATGTACAACATATTAGAAACAAGGGACTATTCCCTATACACGGGATTTATTACTGTGAGATTGAAAGACAAAGTACCATATTTTATGCTATATTTTAACTAAGCTGGCTTATTTTCACATCTGCAAGAGAAACTCTCTGCATTAATTAACTTTCACGTCTACCATATTTAACAAAACTTAGTCAGATAGCCGATTTCGACAGCGATTATCGTAGAATAAAGTTGTATTGTTTTACTGAATAATAACTTAGATTCTCAACTTTAAGATTAAGTTAAGCATCACTTTACATTACGTGTCACTAGTTTTGCTTGTGACAGCAGACAGTGTAATTTTTTGTGTATTCGTTCATCCTCTTTTTAACATTTTTAACATAATTAAATAACATGAATTATAATTACAATTATATATGTGTTTCCAACATTTCAATATGAACAAGAGTGCAGTGGACACAATATACGCCGCCACAAAATATAAAGCTCATGATTGGTCCTTTTAACATGTCTGTATACATAAGCTCAAAATGAAGTCTGTGAGACCAGTTAGCTTAGCTGGAGAGACAAGGACCTGAGATCATAAATGGTATGAATCTTACAAAAATCAAAGAACCGAAAAATCGCCCCTTCATGCACATCTACCCATTGTAGTAGTGATATTGAGCAAGTTTCATGAAAATCTGATGATTAGTTTAGGAGGAGTTGCGTTCACAAGAAATGGACGTACGGACGGCGGTATGGACGGAATGACGGAGAAGATGACGCCAATATACGACCGCCTCCGGCGGCGTATAAAAATGGATGCAAAATGGAATAGAATACGTTGAAAGCATTTTAAGTCTATACTTACAAATTGATAGAGATGTAAGAGGTCACACTGTCAACTTTCGTTGTAGACCACTCGATGGTCGAGTGTGAACAAGAAACACAAGTCATACAGTTTGGTTTGGTGTTATATTGCTTAACTTGCTATCAATAGCTTGGGTCGTTCACGAACGGACGATGCATGCGAGGTAAGTGCAGGTGTTGAAGAGTGAGTGTTTATTTCTTGTCTCTACATTTATGATAATCTTATATACATTGTTAACAAAAGTTCTACTACATACAATAAGTAATCATTGGTCTATATTATAGGACATCATTTACTATTTTGATCTTTTTTGATGTTATACCCATTTAAGATTTTTAACATTTGTCTTTTACCTTTTAGTTCATTTAATGTTATTTCCTATAGGATCGCTGTGTGTTTTATCGGTTAATGGTCCCAATGACCTTTTATGTGTTGGCGGGGTGGTAAGGATGTAATGATGATTATTATCATTGTTATTAGACGGCATCACGAAAATAAACTGTGAACCAATTTGGCATCTTCGAAGGTGTCGACAATCTCCTAACTTGAACTAGTTTTGGTGCGAGGGAACTATTTTTTATATCGCGCTTGTGCTCATTGTGGTATTCGTAAAAATAGTCATTGTTGCTGCATATATTGTTCACTGACATCATGTTGCTTATAAAAGCTGGTGATGTTGTCTTTCACACAAATCCTTTATATATGCCTATTTTTGTTTGTTTGGTTTTTTTTTTTTTTTTTTTTTGTAATATCACATAATTTAAGATTTTGCATGCAATGATGTGCAAAATCAGATATCATTTTTAGAGTTTAAAGCTGCAGATGTATACATTGTGAAGTTCACATCTGAAAATATGTTTAACGGTATAACATATAAATCTAAAGATTTATCCGACGAGTTATGGAAAACATTGTTTTAAAAGTGGAGGAAGGGGAGGCTCTCACACTGTCGGAATGTTGAGGTCTGTGTTAGAGGCCTTAACGTAAAAGTCTTTTATTACAAACATTATCATTATATTTTCTTATTCTTCTGATTCGTCCTTATATTCAAAAAGTTGAAAAATATAGAAAACTGAAAACCAATCAGTTAAAACTATACGAAAAAGTTCATGTACAGAAAGAATCATTCAACATCAGTCGTCCAATTTTCGATTTACACAAAAAAATATATCGCAGCTTATGCTCGATATTATGTTCGTTTTACACACTGGCATAGTCATAGTTCTCCATAAATTGTCAAATCACATTTTCTCATTCCACTTGGTTTTGCTGATGGAACAGAATTCTTTAAGGACAACTTCCATTTCAATAGTATTTGCAGGAGATGGCTTGTATACTCTATCTTTGAAATCCCCCTCAATGAAAACTCCAGTGTATATGGACCGGGAACATGTACAAACGCCATCAATAAGTTTTCACAGATATCAGGCGACGTCCATGCTCGGACATCTGTTGCAGTGTGCG